GAGGACATGTAATGAAAAAAAAAAAAAACATTCCCAGAACGCCTGGGTGGCTCAGTCAGTTAAGCGTCCGACTTCAGCTCAGGTCATGATCTCGTGGTCCGTGAGTTCGAGCCCCACGTCAGGCTGTGTGCTGTCAGCCCAGGGCCTGGAACCTCCTTCGGATTCTGTGTCTCCCTCTCTCTCTGCCCCTCCCCCACTCACTCTTCCTCTCTCTCTCTCTCTCTCTCTCAAAAATCAATAAACATTAAAAAAAGAAATAAAAGAAAAAAGCATTCCTTTAACAGTCTGAGTTTAACGGCCATTGTAGAAGAGTAGGTCCTGTCAACTGCAACAAGAAACTATCATGAGAAATAGTGTCCATCATGTATCCCAAATGTCCAATAAACAGAATGTCCTCACGTATCACGTAGTTTCTCTGCCCAGTGAGAAGGGATCATATTTTGAGACAATAACTCCTCTGGAGAAAGGACAGGAGTTTCTGCTCGTTTGCCAGAGCCCCTCCAGCCTGTCTCTCTGCCCGGCCCCCACAAGCTTGGCACCTCCCTGGACTTGAGGTCCCATCTGGGCCTCAGGTACAAGGAAGGGGGCCCCTGGGGCCCTGCCTTCTAAGACTCAGCATCCAGCTGGCTTTGACACTGGCTGGGCTGTGACCCAGGCCCCAGGACTGATGCCTGGCATGTCTGCCTCCTTTCACAATCCCTAGGCCTTGCTTCTGGTGTCCGTCTTGCTTCTCCAGCCTGGGATCCAGCTCACGTAACCTCCCCGTCGGTTTCTCTCAGCCTCTGACCCCGAGACGTTGTTGCCACACCTCTACCCGGATGGAGTCAGAACGTGGATCAGGGTGGTTCAGGCCCCGTGACCTGCCAGCGGCATCCCCTGGCAAAGCTGGCCTGCCTGGTCTCGTGTTTTGTCTGCTGCTCATGATCTCTGCCCAGGACTAGACCTAATGCTAACCTTTGGCTAGCCTGACTCCTGCCTCTTTTTTCATATTATTCTCTTGGAATGCTGTGCCCTGCCTTCTGGGCCACACTTGTTCCTGGCACAGACAGTGCACCTGTGTCCCCCTAGCCTCAGCTCAGCCCAGCATGCACACCCACACCTAACCTAGTTCAGTCCAGGCTTGACAGAGATAGGCCTCGATGGCCTTTCTTTTGAGGGAGGTCTAGTTCTCATTTCAAATAGGTAGACATCAGTGAGGCACTGACGGGAAAGGGGGCTGACCACTGCTAGGGGCAGCAGACAAATTGAGAAGGAGGGATAGGCAGGCAGCACAGCCGGCAGGGGGCCTCGGCTTAGAAAGTGCACGTCCGACCTTTGGTGGCCACCGTCCCAGGGAGAATAAAGCCAGAATGTACTGGCTCGAACAGCAAGGTGCGGTCTCATCTAATCTGACTCCCGCGGCCCCTCAGGACACTGGGGTCACACTGTCACATGCGGACCATGCTGTAGCACGGACAGTTGTTTGGAATTCCCCAGGCCCATCAGGCTCTCCCCAGCGGGCCCCTTCCTGGGCTGACCTCTGAGCCTCGGTTTTTCTCAACTCTTCTGCTGAGTTTGGTGCCCATCTTTCATGTTCTCCTTAAACACTGTGATTTCCCCAAGTGGGGGACGTATTACAGTTCGCGACACCAGATCCTTGCAGCGGTAGGTGCCCAGTAAGTGCCAAATGAATGAGTGAAAGAAAGAAACTGTCGTGCCTGAATACAAGACCCTAACCTCCCCTCTGAAAAAATGCTTGCCCAATTGATGAAACACTCACTGGGCTGTGTATGGATCGGTAAGCAGGACTTGTGTTCCTGCTTTTGTCTTGTCCGGTTGGGAGAAGACAACCAGAAAGAATCGTCGGCTCAGCTTTGGCCTTAGCACCTGCTTGCTTGGCTTGGCCTCCTTCCAAGGAGAAGCCGAACAGGGCTGCCGTCTTTGAAACAAATAGCCCTTCCTCTTGTTTAAGTACGGTTTCTGAAAGAAAGTTCTACTCTCTACTTAATTGGATTCTTTCTTGCTGCAAGTTAAGCCTTCTTCCTCTTTTCCGTGAGTGGAATTATAACTCATTATCTCTGAAGTTCACAGGGGTACCTTTTCTAAGCAAGACAAGGAACTGCCTCTTAGAGCTTGAATTCTCTCTTCACCTTTGTCTTCCTGTGCATCTGTCTTTCTCCGACTCCCCAAAATTGTGCGTTTCCTTTAATGAGTTAGTACAGAATAGGTTCCTGTGCCATTTGAGAAAACAATTTCCATCTGTTCGTATATTGTTAACAAGTAATGGGTTCTTATTTAAAAAAATAAAAAAAAGGTCTAATCCTTCCCTACTTCCTCCTCTCAAATACTGAATCTCCGATCCTTTGAGGTCCAACATAATTTAAGTGTTAATTCCTTTCTAAGCTCTTTTCAAGCTACTGTACTCACCATGCAGATTTCATTAAACCTCAGAGTCTCTTCATATTGATGTCTCAGAAAAAGCAAAGTAACGCTTGCTCTATATTAAAATACTTTGCTCAAGAGCAGTGTCTTTTGTCCCCATTTATTTATTTGGCCTCCCAAAAGAAAACAGAAGTGCGTTACGACTAAAGAGAACACAAGCGCCAGGCTTCACATCTCATTTGTGAAAAACATCTGGTTATTACAATTCACAGGGTTTGCTGTCCTGAGACGTTTCAGCCTTAAATCACCCTGTGTTGGCAAACAACAGAGAGGGCCAGGCCAGGAATGAAACAGACGAACCTTACGTACAGAATGAGATTAAATAAAAGCATATGCATGCCAATACTTCGATTTCTAATATATTCACCTTGAAAGGCAATCTGTTGTTTCAGTGATCATCATCACTGAAGTCCTTGCAAGCAAATTTCTTAAGATGAGACAGGTAAGATGGGACAATGAAAGCCATTCTGTTCGGGAACTTCCCCTTCAGACTTGGCATCTGGGACGGAAGGATACGTCTTAACTTTTTTAAAGAGAGGAGTGAATGTTCAGTAGTGACATAGATCAGGTGAAAGATCAAGTCGGTTCATTCGAATGGAAACTTTGAAATAGTCAAGAGACGCATTTAAATACAGAGCCAGAGACCTAAGGGCCCGTGTGCGGACTCTGCCTTTTGTTTGCTTTGTGGTGTTGGGGATTTCACTTAACTGCTTTAAGCCTCAATTTCTTTGTCTGTGAAATGAGAAAAAAGACCTGGGAAACTTCATGAGGACTTCAAATGACTAACCAAAGTGCGAGTCTTGTCTCTGTCACTTCCAAGCCTTTGTGTCTTTTGTGTATCACTTGTTTTGAGCGGTGTCAGCGCAGAATCCCTACTACTGCTCTAAGAGATTATTCAACCAAACCATCCCATGTTACAGATGAAGAAACTAAAAACCATAATTACAGAAGAAGTACCTAGGATGTCAAGACGACTCCTCCGAACAAGAATGCTCATTTGGCATTTAGATTTAGGACCTTTTTTTTTTTTTTTAAACCAAAGCACAACTGGAGAAAAGAACGCTCATTTTATTGAAGTCGTGCTGGCACATTGTCAAGTTAGATGGATCTCCTAATAAATGGGACAGCAGTCCTCCTGGGGTTATAGATCGGGATCACCCTGCTTATGCTGTTCCACCCAGAAAGAGAGTGGAAATATCCAGGGTAGCTGCAGGAAAGCTATGACAAACCTTTTCCCAGAAAGGAAAAGGTTTTGCTGGTGATTTCTATGCACTGGAGTATCTTAGCAAACGGAGGGCGTGACTGTCACTTCGTCTGCCTCTGGGCTTGCTGGACCTTTCGGCACAGGTAAGCAAAGGGTGAGGCCATGCCACTAAGGCAGGGACCTTCCAGGGTCAGAAGGGCCAGGAGGGAGGAATGGGAATGATCTAGGACGACGAGGGAGAAGAGATAGGAGAGTTTCACGGCTGAGGAGTAGTGGAGGGTCACCCCAGTGATCTGTGCTCCTGTGTGTCTACCTGGAACATCATCACGCTCCCAGGGAGACTGTCTGCTTTCTGCAAACAGAAAAACTCTCAGGAGAAGGATCCCCTTGCAGCTACTTTTAGGCACTCGGTACATTATTGTAACAGTCCCTGCTTGTAAATAAATCTTACTCATTTAGGATAAGAAAATCCCTGTATATCATCTTTGCAGTTACTTGTTTCATTACCGCGTGCGCGCGCACACACACACACACACACACACGCACACACACACGCACACAAAACAGCACCACCAAAAAACAACTCATTGCTTATATTGGAAAACCCATTCCTTTTGCCCCCTTTCATTTTTTTTTTTTTTTTATACAGGGCGTAAATTTGTTGTTTTAATACAGGGCATAACGATTTCAGAAGCGTTGGTCAATTATTTGTTGATTGAATTAGAGGAAGAAAGTGTGATTATCCAATAGAATCCAGAAATGTACAGCTAATTTTGTGCCTCATGTATATAACCCAGCCATGGTAATTATAATCACTCGTTGTTTTTTGTTTCCTGGGGGAAATAGGTTAGGTTGGACCTGAATGTATCGATATAAAGTATGCACATATAAATTGAACTTTTCTAAATCTAGGTCACTCGGGTAAGAAGGCTCTTTTGATAAAACCAGATTGACAATTAGATTCACAGGGCACTTCAATGTTAAATGGTATTCTTCCCACATTCTGGGTCATAAGGCAGTGTAAACAATACACTGCTGTTGAGAAACAGAAAATCACATTCACAATAACCACAGAGCTTCATGGTGCGTGGTTTTCCACTTTAATAGGCTGTGTTCTGTTCTGCCATGTTAATATCTTAAGTAATATGATTTTCTTTTCATGTAGCTTTAAGTTCATCTTTTATTTTCTCTTTACCTTTCTGGAATAGCTTTCTATAATGCTACATCTTCAGGAGACATTCCTAAAAAAAAAAAAAAAAAAAAAAAAAAAATAGAAAGCATAAAGCCGAATAATCTTTGCAAGCAAACAGCAAAAACAACAATGAAAATTGATTTCAGATCCTCCAGCCAAAATGTTATCTTGTGTACTTTTCAGACTCAATCTGTGTTCCAGGCTTTGATCCAGGCCTCAACATGATGACTGGGATCACCCCCATTAACCCGATGATTCCAGGCCTGGGGCTGGTACCACCGCCACCACCAACAGAAGTGGCTGTCGTCAAAGAAATAATCCACTGCAAAAGTTGTACTCTTTTCCCTCAAAATCCAAGTAAGTGTTGCCTGTGAAAGATACTCATCAATTTAAACTTCTTTCTCTTCTTTCTTTCTTTCTTTCTTTCTTTCTTTCTTTCTTTCTTTCTTTCTTTCTTTCCTTCTTTCTTTCTCTTTCTTTCTTTCTTTCTTTCTTTCTTTCTTTCTTTCATTCTTTCTTTCTCTCTCTCTCTTTCTTTCTCTTTCTTTCCTTTCTTTCTTTCTTTCTTTCTCTTTCTTTCTTTCTTTCTCTTTTTCTTTCTTTCTTTCCTTCTTTCTTTCTTTCTTTCTTTCTTTCTTTCTTTCTTTCTCTCTTTCTTTCTTTCCTTCTTCCTCTTTCTTTCTTTCTTTCTTTCTTTCTTTCTTTCTTTCTTTCTTTTTCTTTCATGTAGCATTGTATTCACTTTCAGATCTGACTCAGAATTCTTCCACACGCAGGCACAAAGTGGAGGTCCATTCTCCATGAGGCCTTTGTCTCTAGATTAGCCCAAATGGATGGGGATATGTCCATGTGTTGTATCCAGGAGCTGAACTGACACCTGAAGGCAGTATGTGTGATTTGGGGATATATATCCAGCATTAAGAATCTTTTTGCATGCAATGACATCTAGCATTTGCTGCAAAACATAGTGTGAAATATGTGAGCATTTCCATCCATCGTCACAAATGTAGGAGAAAAACTCCGAAATGTGCTTTGCTAGATGGAAAATTGAATTAATTTAGCAGTTTGCAATTTTGGGGGGAGGCTGCATCTCAGAGTTTCTGGGCCAAATTACATTTGCTTGAAGGAAACATACATTCGATGACATAAATGAGCCAGATTTTTTTTTTTTAATTTAGGCTCAGATACTAAGTTTATGGGCTTAAATAGCTAGAATTTTTTTTTATTCATATTAATCAGTGTTGCCTTTTTGAAGTGGACTTTTCAGGAGATTGCTTTAGTAATCTACATGTAAACTAGGTAAAATGTTGTGACAGTATAGGTTTTATCTTTTCCTACAGACTTCCCCCAATGTAATCATTTGCTCATTTAAATGTGAATAATAATTTTTTTTTAAAAAAGTGGTTTTTCAGGCCCGATGTTTGGTGTTTCCCAGCCCAGCAAGTACTGCTTTCGGGTTGTGTTCCCAGTTTTCTGCCTTGCTGATCCATTATCCCGCAAGGAGACAAAGCCGATAACAAGCCCAAGTTTTCCATCATGTTGTCATTTCATCATGCTTTGTCCTTTGTCAGGTTTTTTTCCCCCCGTTTTCTGGGCTTCTGTATTATGAAGGAGAAATGAAATTATGCTAACACTTGCATTATCTCTGTTCACGGACAAGCATAGCCAGTCTGTGTAGAAAGGAACACAGAAAGTTAAGGTTGGGGAGGGGAGAGGAGGTGAAAACAAGGCAGCCTGCCAGCCGTGTAGGTCGGTGTAGAAATCTATCCTTCCTCAGAATGGACACAGTTACTCTTCAGGTGTCACTTTCACCAGGTGAGCCAGGAAGAGGGCAAAGAAATAAAAGTCAAAACCCCTCTGTTTTGTTGTGATTAATAGATCTTCCACCTCCTTCCACAAGAGAACGACCTCCTGGGTGTAAGACCGTGTTTGTCGGGGGATTACCAGAAAACGCTACTGAAGAAATTATTCAAGAAGTCTTTGAGCAGTGCGGTGATATTACAGCGATTCGGAAAAGCAAGAAGAATTTCTGTCACATTCGCTTTGCAGAGGAATTCATGGTTGATAAAGCCATTTACCTTTCCGGTACTTTGCATTACATCGGGGGTTTTCTCAGCATTTTGTTACGTTTTGTGATGTTAATATGAGCTTATTCCCTTTTGCCTTAATGTACAATAAAGTCCTCACAGTTAGGGGCTGGAAAAGGAGGAACTCTGCCTTTTCCTTGGCGGCCAGAAGCTCTATGCTAAGTCTGTGAGCGTTCCTCGCTGCACGAAGGGTTGCCCAACACCAGTCTTTAGGAATTCCACTGAGGTTCTAATTAATGTTCTCATTAATGATGAAAAGCAATATTATGAAGACTGAGGGCCATTATTATTATTGGATGCCATTCCCGGGAAGAATAAGGTATGCTCTCGGCACAATTTCAGTTTTCCGGAAGTGGCTCACTTTCTAGACCCCAGGGTAGCAGGTCAAGATCAGTTCCTCGCAGGAAGCAGCCTGATGTCATTGCCACTTTAGGGGAAGGCCCGATATCATTGCCCAATTGCCAGTGCACTTAGATTGGTGAAGGCTGCCCCGTGATATCTGCTGCTTTGGTGCCAGCTCATAGGGGAGATTTTTACAGATGCTGAAATTAGACCCAGTGCCGCCTATCGCTCTGTGGCTGTTGGAGCTACTGTAGGGAGTCTGTCATCCGGGCCTTTACCAAACCCAAGAACTACGCATCTGGTATTGGTATGTGGCTTTAGAAAGCTGTGCGCTTAGATTCAGCTCCCTGACATTCCCTCACACTCTCCATCTCGCATGTTTCCCATCCATCACTCTGCACACCACCTCCCCATTCCGGAGGCAAAGGTCATGAGGGAAGGTGAGAAAAGAATGGGGGGAAAAAAATACCTGAATGCCCCTGCCAGGCTTAATTTCTGCAGGCAGCTCCCTTCCCCCCCACGGAACACTCTTGCGAACCCCAGCCGCCTCGGGGTTATTCCGACACTGCTGTGACTTTGCGGAGTAGAGCTGGCATAGAGATGTGGAGGACTTTCAAACCCTTATTCCAAGAAAACCTAACAAAGTGGGGAAAAATTCTGAAAGCCTTCTAAAGGAGATGGAAGACGAAACACAGAGGAAAATATTTTACAGCGCATAAACAGCTACGTGTTTTGCTTCCCATATCTTCTTGGGCCACAGCATCAGAGTACTCTTGTTACACACACAGGTGGTGGCTCTGTCACCAGCATGCCTGGCGACGGGTCTCCCGGGTCTCACGTGCCTCGGGCTAGAATACCTCTCCCTGGCTTCCATTTTCTCATCTGCAAAACTGAGGCAGCAACAGTAGTAACTTATAGGATTATTATGAGGAACGAATCAACATAATGGATATTAAGTGCTTAGCAGGGCACCGACAACAATAGGAACCATCCAGGAAATGGTTGTTTTTAACACAAATATCCTGAAGATGATAAAAGAAACACGGATCCTTATTTCTCACGGACCCTGCCTCGGGAAGCCGGGTTCTAATCACAGCTCTACCAATAAAAGTATTACTTCACCCCACCTGCTTAAATGAGAGGGTTAGAGTAGATCAAAAGTGCTTTTCAACGCCAACATAACACAATGTTTAGACCCAGTCAGAAGCGCCTTGAGACGTCGCCAAAGATGAACAGGCCCAAATTTAGGCACGTGGAAGGTATTTCTCTATTGCTTCCTTGATGCTAGGCTTTGCCCCACTTGGACCCTGGTCCTGCTGCTTAGCCGGGCGCCTGATTGCTCCTTGGTCTGCCCCTTTGCGGCAGGGAGAGCCCACAGCTAAGGCCTCACCTCCAGCTTCCCTGCCTGGGGGCACAGGGGTCTCCCAGCTTTACCTCCATCGCCCTAGGAAGGTTGCACATCAGTCCGGGGAGGATCTGGAAGGCTGCTTATTTGGAGGGGTGGGGGGTGTGGGGGCAGAAGGCTGCCCCTCCCGTGTGCAAGCTCCTGCAAGCCCGTGCCCAGCTGGAAGGCCTAATTTTAGGACCGTGTTCACATTTGAAGGCCAGGCTAATTTTAGGCTCAGCCTCATCAGGATCTCTTTTTAAGGCCTTAATGATGATGTGTCGGTGAAAGAGAGGGTACAGAAATATCTGAAAAGCGATGCTCTGGACACGGGCAGGAGAAAGTCCCTTGGCCAGTGGGGACTGCTAGCCAGTCTCAGGTGGTGCCACCCGCTCAGCTGTTATGTATATATCACCGTGGCCTGCCGACTTGTTACATCGCTATGGCCCAGCACCAAGATACACTCTGCTTTAGCATGAATTCTGCTCATCTATGACGGGATGTTTACGTGTGTCGTAGGTATTGTTAGGTCTTCCCGTTTTTAGAGAACACCATTTGAACCTAGGAGGGAGAAGGGCACAACAGGAATCAGATGTGAGATCTGTTTTGTGTTTGCAACTTCTCAAAGGTGTGAAGTGCCCTACAGGGGAGAAGTCAGCCTCTGCAGGGATTTTCAGCTGAGCTCCAACCCAAATGCCAAGATAATCCATTGAAATCTACCATAGAGATCTTGAACATCAGCACAGGGCAGCCTGGCATTTCACAGTGGTGTCTCATTTGCAAAGCCCCTACACAGCAAAAGTGCTCACTTTGCTGTCTCCTCTGGCAGCCCCAACAGCTGTGATCCTGCTGGGACCTGAATTTATGTTTTTAAAATCTGAGTGCCCCAAACTGAAGAGCAGCCTCAAAGCCAAGTCTTCCTTCATTTGAAGTTAGGCTAGCTGTCTGGTTTCAGTTCTGTTTGCGTTGATGTCTCAGATCGAGTGTCTGCACATCATCTGCTTGTAAGTTGGGTAGCTCGCCGCAAATCCCCCAAAGATTTCCAGGCCCCTGTTTTTGGTCTAGCTCCGCGTTCTTGCGCGGGCTCCTGTGGCCTTCAAAGATCGCGTGGACAATTTGTGCAGTGCTGCGTGCCAGATGAGGTAGTGCAGGGCTGTAAGGAAGGCAGCAGCAAGGCCTCTTGATTGAAGGTAAAATATTCTCCCGCGTGCCCCAGAGGATAAGTGGAAATAAAACAGCATTGCAAAATTGCCTTGGTGATTGTGGCTTTTGCAGCTGCTGAGAGAGAATTGAGCAGCATTTTCTAGGAGAATGAAGCGGTAACATGTGAGTGAGGTGCTGCGGAATTTACTTTGTGGATCTTTTTAAATATCACAGATATTCTTTATTTACTCCTGTTCCACCTTTTTCTAAAAAGAATTTAAGAGCACTTACGCAATGGAGTTACCATAAATCAAAAATAGAAAAAAAACAAAGCCATAAAATCGGGGAGCCGGGAGGGAGAACGCTACGTGCCAAATTTGTTTCGGAGCTTCCTGGAAGCCAGAGGGAAGAAGGAGTTACTGTAAGTGTCCTGGTTCTTGAGGTCATCCTCTTAGTAACAGTGGCTTGCAAGATGGGTAGGTGACCCTCTGAGACGCCTCCCAGGAGGGGGTTTATCCCCCAATCCCTAATAAGCTGAACTTGGCCGTGCTTCCTGATCGCTGGGGAGAAGCGTAACTGCTTCCCACCTGCTACGGGCAGAGCGCCCTTGCTATGGGCAGAGAAAGAGGCAAAAGCACCGTATCGCGCCCTCGCTGAGGGCCTGGGCGACGCTTTGCCCTCATCGTGCTGGTGACCTTGTGACGGGACCGGCCTTTCCGTTGCTTTCAGGTTACCGGATGCGATTAGGGTCTAGCACGGACAAGAAGGACTCGGGCCGCCTCCACGTGGACTTCGCCCAGGCCAGGGACGACTTCTACGAATGGGAATGCAAACAGAGGATGCGCGCGCGCGAGGAGCGGCACCGGCGCAAGCTGGAGGAGGACCGGCTGCGGCCGCCCTCGCCGCCCGCGATCATGCACTACTCGGAGCACGAGGCCGCCCTGCTGGCCGACAAGCTGAAAGGTAGGAGGCCGCCGACCTGGGCCTGCCCGGGCAGTAGCCCCTGCCCGCTGACTGACTGAGGAGCCCTGTGATCCCCAAGCACCCCCGGCGTCTCCGCCCCTACACCTGCTGATTTCCTGCAGGCGAGGTCACCCCCGAAGCTTCCCCCTGCCGCCTGGGACAGAGCCCTGCCTCTTCCCACCTGTGTCCTCCGTGCAGGTGTGTGTTGTCACTCAGCACGACGCACGGAAGGAGGGGAGAGGAGTCGCACGCAGAAGGCCCAGAGGTGGCTCCTGTCTTACCACCTGTGACGAATGAGCTAGGCTAGTGTCCCCTCCCGTGGTCGGGATCCCTGCCTTCAGAGATGGAGTTGAAGGGTCACTGCTAACACCTATGGAATAATTGGGGGCAGGGGGCACTAGTGTATGTGACTTCTTTAACGTTTGCTGTGCTCCTCTCACGTGTTTGATGCTGTGGGGGAATAAAGACATATGGGGGCTTTAGTACCTGCCCCAGGGAACTACAGATGATTGGGGAGGGGCCGGAATTTTAAGTCAGGACCACGTGTATGCGTGAATTCCCTTCCATCACCCATCAGAGTTGTATCATCTGAGCCGCATCTGCATTTTACAGGCAAGTGACGAGTGACGGTCAGACCTTTCTCAGGCCGTTGGGCGTGTCAGGTTTTAAGGAGAGAAGGCAGGTTGCAGTCGCTGGCCGCATGTAGGTGTCTCAAGTAAGCGATTAACTCAAGTCCAAAGCCAATGGCATGATTGCCAACCGATGTATGAGCAACGTGCTTTGGGAACACAGGGGCGAGTGTCAAGGAAGGTATATCAAGAAAATCGTCACAGAGGAGAACTGTGCAGGAGAAACAAGGGTCCCCCCTGCCCCCCAGGAGAAAAAGGGCCTAAATACATCCTGGTCAGAGGCTGGAGCCCCAGGAGAAAAGACACAAGGAAGCAGAGAGGAATTTGGCCCAGGAGGAGAAAGGCACGTCACCTGTCCCAAGGTACACGAGAGCTGCATGGCAGTTTCTAGAGCGAGGTGAAGTGGGAAGAGCAGTTGGGGGCCAGCGGGCAGAGCCCTGAAGGCTGCCGCTGGATTTGGGTTTTGTTCCTTAAGCAGCGGAGAGGCCATGAAAGATTTCTCATGGGAAGAGAGATGTGATTGATCGCTTGGAGTGTTTTAGAGCATAGCTAGTATATTGCTGGGAATGTGTAAAGTGGATTGGATGTTTTCATTAAAAGAAATGTATGAAAGCTGCCCCAAACCTATTTTAGGAGGATAGGAGGTTGACATTCTATATCTTTAAAAGAGAATTCTTTTATTTCTTCTAAACTTTATTTATTTATTTTCAGAGAAAGACAGTGAGTGGGGGAGGAACAAAGAGAGAGAGAGAGAGAGAGAATCCCAAGCAGGCTCTGCACTGTCAGCACAGAGCCCAACGTGGGGCTCAAACTCACGAACTGTGAGATCATGACCTGAGCCCAAATCAAGAGCCAGGCGCTTAACCGACTGAGTCACCCAGGCACCCCGAGAATTGTTTTGAAACGGGCTTCTAGCTTCTAGCCGTTTTCCCCCGGTCCGGCCTTGAGAACCCCTAATCAGCTGCAATTGTGACTGAAATGCCCCACTGTGACCACCAGGCCAGTCTTGCTTGTTGTGCTGCTCTGAAAGGGCCTGTCTTACAGACATAAACACATAGGTCATTGTCCCTTCAACAAAAAGCATACACAGTGCAAATACAGGCATCATCTCCCCTTTCCACTCAGGCTACAAATCACAGGGAGTGGCCAGGAGGAGAAAGAACTACATCCTCAGCCAGGAATGTGGATTTTGGAACAAATTGGGTTTTTTTCTTTAATATCCTATACATTGTGTATTATCGGCTTACGCGCTACACCTAGACGTGACAAAAACTAGCGCTGTGGTTCTGTGACCTCTTAGAGGAGTTTCACAGAAGTCTGGCATCCCCCTGTTCTTTTTAAGAAACCCGCACGGAAATGTCTGTGCATGTAAGAGGAACGTGGCATTGCCTTCCCTGCTGGAGGATCACAGATTGGGATGTCAATTTGGTGAAGTAATTTGCAAGCTTTGCCATTTCAAAAATATATATTTATATAGATGAGTATAATTTGCAGAATTTCGAAGCTGCACCTTTGCCAAGTACTGTGTGATCCCTTGAGAGAACAGATTGGAAAATTTAATAGATGGCAGTTACAGTAGAATGAACTAGCTGGGGATACATCTCAGGCAACAGTCAGGTAATATCAAGCTTGACAATTTCAACCCAAGCACAGAGTTTGGAATATAAACAGCATTTAATTGCCTAGGAAATTGGCTGCCTCAGAGAGGAAATCCACTCCATGCTCCTTATAACGCTGCAAAGCCAGACAGGAGGAGCCAAGGAAACTGCTGCCCTGAAGATGATTTCATTGATGTAGGGATAAAAAAAAAAAAAAAAAAAAAAAAAAAAAAAAAAAAAAAAAAAAAAAAATGCAGTCAAAACCCAAGGTAAAGAAGCCTGGATAAAAAAGAAAATGGAAATGCAATCTGAAAATACCTAATTGGATTTGATTTTTTTTTCCCCTCCCCTGAGAAGTCATACTCTTAGGTTTATTCCATTTTCCCCCATTTTACATTGTACTTGTTTATTCTTGCAGTTTCCTTTTGGAAAATCAGCTTCATCTAGCAACATCTGTACAAGCCAACCCTATGTATGACCCACAAGGCCCTCCACTGCATCCTGCCTAGGGTTAAAACAATGCACATAGTAAATGCTTAATTCCTTTCTCTCTTCCTCAGCTATTTGGATCTCTTGAGTATGTTGCATTTCTGGGCAGTGGTGCCACCGGGCGTGATCGGAAATGTGCAGGCAGCCATCATCCCACTTGTGGGGCTCTTTACCATATATCTGGGACCTTGCTAAGCACTGCAGGGAAGACAACAGCATGCAAGCCGCTACTTCACAGCGTTTAGGCTTCTGGAATGATAGAGGCAATTACAAAGCACCGTATACTTCCCACTACCGTGTGTGAGAAGTGCCCCGTGCCTTCCCAGGAGTGACTCGGGACCCAACTGGACAGTGACGGGGTGAGGGGGCAGATCTTCTGAAACCAGCTAACCCCAGATTCTATGGCCACGGGGCCTTCTTGAAGGCGGAGGAAACTTGGAATTGTAATTGTGTAGTGTCTAAGGCAGCGTCTGTTGCGTTAATACAAATTCTAAAAAAGAAAATTAGCGGGCACCCTGCTGATTAAATAGACATTGTTCTGAGACAATTCAACTTAATGAAGACTGACTGGGAAGTAACTGCTCACAGACCCAAAGTTTATAGCATGGCTTTGAGAAAGTGAGCAGGAGCTCAATAACACCATAATTACACTTTATTGGAAACAGTAGCACCAGGCAGATGAGATAATGAATTTCAGTGTGTCTAACACAGACCATCCACCCCTGGAGGAACCCTGTGTTTGGACTGGGGAAGGAAGAGATTGATTAGACGGTGAGAAAGATGATATCCTCATTCACTGGAGATTTCTCCTGGCAAGAGCATTTAAAAGTTTTTGTGTACTTTTCCCCCCTTTGGAAAGCTTCGCATAATCTTTCATTATGCGATGAAATGAAGAGTTTCTCTGTGCCATCAGGTGAAGTTTTGACAAAGCTTTGAAGCAGTGCCCTTGGGATCCCCTGATGTGTCATCATGAATTCAGTTCTCCTGGGATCCGCATTCATAATTTCCGGAGGGCTAGGCTCTGATTTGCATACAGAATGGCCCGGTGTCAGCCTGCCAGGGGGACAGGGGGAGGGAGGGCTGCCGGCATTTTGCTGCGGTGGTTGTCAATATTTATGGTTCCAAGAAAGTAAAAATCAATAATGCTCTAAGCCAAGTGGAAGTTCCATTAGCTAAAAGCCAGGCTTCCGTCTTAGGGCAAAGGAAATAAGCACAGGAGGCTGTTGGAGAATCACTTCCGTGGGCGTCACTGACCTTCACAGAGGCAAGACAGGCCTTTTCACCTAGAAACGTTTTGCATGACCCCAAAGCAGGAATAATCAGTGCATTTTCATATTGCCACCCCCTCCCTTAATTTTTTTTCATTTTTACAGGTACTGAGTAATTGGGGGAGATTTTGTGTGTGTGTGTGTGTGTGTGTGTGTGTGTGTGTGTGTGTGTGTGTGTGTTGAAGGGAGAGGAGTGCATTAACCATTTGTCTCGCCTCTCCTGCTCTCTGTGATTTGGGGGATAGATAAGGTAACAACACCCCTTTTAGTGGTTAATTGAGTAGCCAGAAGAATGGAGACTTGCTTAGAGATGTCCAGCAATAGGACGTTTTAGGACTATTGTAGTAGGAGTGCTTGGGCCATCCTGGAATCCCCATTCTGCTTGGATCACTATGTGACTCCACACTGTGAGCTATTTCCAGCTATCATAAACGCCAGAAATCAGTGACAGCATTCACTGTGTGTGTGTGTGTGTGTGTGTGTGTGTGTGTACGTGTGTCTGTATCCCCATTTTTGGAGGAAAAAATTGTGTTGTAGAACATCTTCCTTTTATCTCATTCTTGGGATATGTTATTCAAACACTGATCTCCTCTCCTGTTATTCCTTTATAGACCCAGCCATAAATAAGGGTACTACAGCCCGCCTAACTTTTCATATTCAGTGCTCATGGCCTGGCTCTCATCCTATCTATTGTTCTGAAAATCAAGGCCAGATCTCCCTCTGCACACAAAGGGGGAAAAATACCTGCTTACCAATTTGAGGCCTTTTTCCCCTTGATTATCGGTTTGTCACTTTGATTGAAGTTCACCACATTCCCACCTGCTGAGTCCTGGGCTCTGTGTCCTTGTCCTAGAGTGACACATGCAACTATTGCATGGACCTGGCCTTTGAGGAGCTACAGTTCAAAGGTGGCTGAAGCATGCTCTGGCAGTGGAACCATAACTTACAAATATAAAATTGACACGTGCCTATGATTTTGTTTAACTCATTCATTAATGAGAGAATCAGTAAGGCGT